GATGCCTGTATGAGTTACCTTGATGCCAGTATGAGTTTACCTTGATGCCCATATGAGTTACCTAGATGCCTATAAGAGTTTACCTTGATGCCCATATGAGTTTACCTTGATGCCCATATGAGTTACCTTGATGCCCATATGAGTTACCTTGATGCCCATATGAGTTTACCTTAATGCCCATATGAGTTTACCTTGATGCCCATATGAGTTTACCTTGATGCCCATATGAGTTTACCGTGATGCCCATATTATGTGATGCACAATGAATTTGCATGGAAAATAGACATTCCCTATATTATTCATTTTGTATAAGTTTTACACCACCATGTATCAATGCCAATGTTTTGTTGGGGCAGCTACATAATAATGATAATAAAATTTGTGATTAAAATATTTCTAAGTTTCATTTATCATTATTTAGTAAAGAAATCACTGAAATGATTTATTATATTCGTAAAAAAATCTTGACTGACGATTGACTTCTCAGCACTCTTTGCACGATATGTGTCAGATCAGTGTAGCGAGGACGCCGGCCGCAGCGTCAATGTAAGCCTCAGATTTGTGAAAGGAATTGTAGAAAAAACAACAATTTGTTTTGAAGGTGGGCTGATACTTTCATATTCAGCTTTGTCGTCATCGGTTTGGTTGTAATTTTTGGTGGTTGGTTTTAAGCGTAAACAGCCATGTTTTTCTAGATTTTACAGTGTCGTCTATGGAGAGTTTAATCAGTATAGGCCATGACAATTTTATCAAATTTAACTTTGAAACTGAGTGTGTTACAACTTTTGTATTGTGTGTGTGAATTATTTCCTCCAGTGTATCCGAAACATGTCATGCAGCCTTGTTGATTGTAAGCAAATAACACCGAATAAACGGCAAGGTAAAGACTATGTCTAATTATAGTAAATACGTACTGCGTGCGTGACTCGAACCGGCGCTCGCGTACGGCACCTAATCGCCTAGCTTCACGCCACTACACGTCTTCCCCTCGGCCACCGGGCATCCCCAAAAAAGGATGCTTAATAACCGAGCTTATTACGTGCAGAGAACGTGAAACCCGTCCACGCGATACGCGCCACACAGCATGGCCAGAATGCGGCAAAGGCCTTCAGATCTGGCTGTAGTAGGATGGTGAAAGTAATTCCTTGTTGATTGTACTTTTATACACACATTGTATGTTCTGTGGGTCCCATATCAAAACCAGTCTTGAGATCTGGTGCTCTAACAAATAAAGCAGTCATTGAACTGTCATTTAACACTCAATTTTCCCTCATAAATATTTTAGTGTAAAATTTCATGCATTTTGATTCATTTTTCTATAATTTATTTGTCACTAGTGGACCAAATGGCTATCGGTCTTGATCAAAAGGTCGCCATGTGAGGTCTACTTTATTCACCATTCCCAAAATTACATTACCGGTACATTAAATTAAATACCAATTGTTTCTCCATGGGTTTTAAAAATTGTAATCAAGATCCAGTGCCCATGTTCCAAGATTAACAAAGAAATTACAGACATATTCATAAAAATGTAGAAAATTTGGTCTTGTTGATTAGAATTCTAATATCGTTTCTCTCTCTTTCCCACAGGATGGTAGTAGTTAGTAGAGCAATAGATTAAATGTTTTACAAAAAAAAAAAAAGCTGCCTAAGAATGACTTCAGCAACTGATGACCGGCTTACCTTTGACCTCTGATGAACTTTGACCTCAAATCTCTGCCTTGATTGGGATATCATAGTCAGGTAAGCTTATAGTATATATACATGTACAAGTTTAGAGTTACTGTCGTACAAATGTGGTATTGACCATTAATTGTGCTCATCTCTAGGAAAAAAACAAGCCTTCAAACTCCTCTAATCAGCAAATAAGCTCTGTACTTCTTTTTAGTCCCCGTTCGGACGCAGTCCGAAAACGGGGACTTATGTTTTGACCTCCGTGCGTTTGTGGGTGCGTCAGTGCGTGAGTCCGGACCTGTATCTTAGAAATTCCTGGACCAATCACAATCAAACTTCACACAGACATCATACATGATATCATACATATGCACGTCAATTTGTTTCATGATCTGATTCAAGATGGCCGAATAGCGGCCATTTTTGTGCTAAAAATCATCAAAATCGAGCATTTCGCGGTTGTTTACAGATGGTTTTTGTTCAAACCTTGTATATACGTTGGACATTATAGGACCTTGATGCACATCATTTTGTTTTACGATCTGATTCAAGGTGGCCGAATGGCGGCCATTTTATGCTAAAAAATCATAAAAAGCAACCATTTCTCGGCTGTTTACAGATGGATTTCGTTCAAACTTGGTACATACATTAGACATTACGGGTTCCTGATGCACATCATTTTATTTTTCAGATCAGATTCAAAATGGCTGTCTTGCGGCCATTTTGTTTTAATGAATGGGTTCCCAGACCCATATGTCTGACTTGTTTTGTCTGATTATGTTCAAATTTTTAATATTCATTATACATCATGTCACAGATATACGGATATATTGGTTTGATGATCTTTTTCAAAGTGTGCTATTTTTGTGCTGAAAAAATCCTTGAATATCAAACATTTCTTGCATTTATGGATGGATTTTGTTCAAACTTATAACACACGTTAGACATTACAGATTCCTGATGCATGTCATTTTATTTTTCAGATTGGATTCAAAATAGCTGACTGGCGGCCATTTTGTTTTAATGATTGGGCTTCTAGAGCCATATCTCTTAAATGCTTTGACTGATTATATTCAAATTTTATATATTCGTTATACATCATGTTATATATATATATATATATATATATATATATATATATATATATATATATATATATATATATATGGGTTCCCAGACCCATATGTCTGACTTGTTTTGTCTGATTATGTTCAAATTTTTAATATTCATTATACATCATGTCACAGATATACGGATATATTGGATATACGGATATATATATAATATATATCAGCCATTTTGAATACTGTTCCAGAGCAATATCTCTCAATATGGACAAGTACTTGTTTGACGATCAGATACAAATGTCAATCATTTTAATGTTAAAAAAATCATATTCCTGACATGGTTATATTCCAGGTATATTACTATAAACATAACTATATATCTTAAATTTGATAACTAACTGAGACTGTGCCATGCATGGCTTGTTTTTTTTTGTCTGATGAATGATGTCATAGTGTAGTTGCTTGCATAAAGGAACAAGATCATTTCATATATGTATACATGTATTGATATGGCATCATTTATTGCTTGTGAGATACAATTTACAAATAAGGTATATTATACATCAGTTGACAGTTTGTTTCATACATATGTGATAGAATTGATTGTTCCCATTTCTGAAAAAAAACAAAAAGAGCATTTTTTTTTGCCTAATGAATGATGTCTGATTGCAGCTTATCGATGCCATATCTCAGTTTCAATCATTCGTCCTTTTATCCAAAACATAAATAATTCTAGTTAAATTGCTTGAAAATAAAACTTGTTCTAAACAGAGAATAGGAATCTGGTTCTTATGTCAGATGAACCGAGAAAATTGTTAGCTGTCTATAACCTATCAAATCAATTAAAGAGAAATCACTGGTTTACATGGCACACCATTTCTTGTGACAACATTTCAAAGATTTGTATTACAGTCATGAACTTATTTGATCACCAGTTAACCTATCGTATAAATACATGGAGACGTGGAAAATAAACATGGAATTACATTATAACATTTAATTTATGAAAACATTTTTGAAGAAGTAGTTTATGCCAAAAAACACTTTTTTTTAGCTCCGATGTCATCATAGATGACAGAGCGAAGTTGTTTATATTGTTCATCGTGCATCTGTCGTTTGTCAACAATTGCATTTTCGACTTCAACTTGAAAACTACCAGCTCAATTGCTTTAATACCTATCCGATAGCGTTGATTGATAAGTTGAAATATGCACTGAGTAATATTTCTTTATGAATAATCCTCCATCAAATTCATGACCTTGATTGTTTGAGTGTGAATGATTATTTGTGTTTCCTCCACTAAAAATAGCGACCATATTGTTATACATTTTTTATTGAAGTATGATATCAGCTTACAGTTTCATTAGGATACTAATAACATTAATGAAATTGGACAATCTTGGAAACGACGTATTAGAAATATAGCATCTGTAAGCAGGAAATTTTCATTTTAATTCAACCCAGTTTGATGTTCACAGGATTTTAAATTCACAGTTTTGTGAACAAAAACAATACATTTTAGTGTGTTTAACTTTATACATTTACTGGGTTTTATAAAATAAAACTCAGCGAATAAATTATTAAGCCTTTTACGATAAGCCAGCAGTGATTATACAGTAATAAAAATCTACACATGCTATATGTTCACTTTAAATATTGCCAGAAAAGATTAGTATGTTGACAGTTTCGACCAAATCTATTGTGTTACCCTACCCTATTATCCAGTATATATAATATTATCCAGTATATAGACTGTTCCAATTATTACTTACCATAGTATGTAGGCCAAGGTTTCCGAGTAATTGTGCTTTTCATCAGTAGACAAGCTTTGCTCTCATGGTCCAATTTCCTCTGTGGAAAATTTGATATTTCATGAGGAAAGGAATTATTTGCTTATTTTTAGCTCCGCTGTCGACTTTGTCGAGCTGAGCTTATCATATGAGTGATTGTCCGTCGTCGTCGTCCGTCGTCGTCCGTGTCAATGTTTTACTTTTTCGACTTCTTCTTGAAAACTACAAGCCTGAATGCTTTGATACTTGGTGTAGATGTACCTTGGGTAGACCTCTCTTAGGTTTGTTCATTTCATGTTGATATCTTCAATTCTCTAATTTTGGTGAATATTTTTGTCATTTTTGGTAAAAAGTGATATTTTCGACTTCTTGTTAAAAACCGCAAGTCCAATTGCTTTGATATTACATATATAGGTACTACACGTGGACCTTTCTCAGATTTGTTCATTTTGTGATGATATCTTCAATTCTCTAATTTTGGTGAATATTTTTGTAATTTTTGGTAAAAAGTGATATTTTCGACTTCTTGTTGAAAACTGTAAGTCCGATTGCTTTGATATTACATATATAGATACTACATGTAGACCTTTCTCAGATTTGTTGATTTTGTGATATCTTCAGTTCTCTAATTTTGGTGAATATTTTTGCCATTTTTGGTAAAAAGTGATATTTTCGACTTCTTGTTGAAAACTGTAAGTCCGATTGCTTTGATATTACATATATAGGTACTACATGTGGAACTCTCTCAGATTTGTTCATTTTGTGATGATATCTTTAGTTCTCTAATTAATTTATTTTGGTGAATATTTTTGTAATTTTTGGTAAAAAGTGATATTTTCGACTTCTTGTTAAAAACTGTAAGTCCGATTGCTTTGATACTATTCATATTGTTCATTTTCTAATGATGTCTTCAGTTCTTTAATTGAAATGTGCATTGCTAACAGCAAAGCTATCTCAGCCGATAGGCTGCTTGTTTTTTTTTTTATAAGAAAATTTGACATGTGGCTGTAAAACATTCTGAAAAATGCATAATTTATCTGCTTGAGCAGCTTAGTAACTATTTATGTCACCAGAATCTAGATTCCATGTCAACCCCATGGTGTGTTATCTCAGTAGTTCTTAAATGTATAAATGTCTCAGCCAAGTGAAATAAGTTTTTGGTCAATTTGTTTTTTGAATCATGTTTTTTTTCCAGTTAAAATTGTCTTAAAAATGTGCATATATATTTTTTGCTATTGAATTTTTGCTTAATTTTCTTTTCTAAAATGCAAACAAAAAATTATATATAAAAAAAAACTGCAATGCAAATTTTTTTTTTAGTCTGCTGGCGATGCCAATGGTGCTTGCTGTGTCCAGCATCAGGATGGATGGATGTCTGCATGTGGGAAATTTCTTCTCAAAAACGCTGAACCATTTTACTTGGTTTTTGTTGTTTAGCTGCCTTGATGGGTGTAGATGAAAATTTGTTCATGAGAAGTTGATCTGCTAAAAAATTATGTAAATTGGCTGTACCAAAAACTATAAAAATGCCTAAATGACTTCTATCATACTATTTGGTCTACAGTCATGATAATGATTGTGCACATGTATTGGATTGACTTCTATCAGTTTTGGTAACTTGGTGACAAAATCATCAATTTCCTATTTATGGCCAAACATTTTTGGTAAAAAGTTTAATTTTCGACTTCTTCTTGAAAATTACCAGCTAAATTACTTTGATACATGGTATGTAGATATCATGTGTAGACCTCTGTCAGATTTGTTCATTTCATGGTGATATCTTCAATTCTGTTTTTTTTTTTTTGGCAAATATTTTTGGTAAAATATTATATATGATATTTAAGGTGTACATAATTTCTGTGAACAATTTGTTTGATGAAGTTATGTTGACTTGTTCGAAATAGCCAGAACCAACCTACTTTTTTGTGGGTTAACTGTGTTTTGTCTTATGGATGTGCGTTCTTGTAGGACAGCAGAGCTATTTCGCTTTCAGGTCGCTTGTTAGAAAACAAATTTTGTCACTTTGGTAAAAAATGCTTTGTGGTTTGTTACAAGTTGATAACAATTGCAATTGCCATAGCAACAAATATATAAACTACCATGGCTGTGACCTAGTTGTGCCAACAATAACCATGGCAAATCAACTAAATCTATTGAGTTACTATTTGTCAACATTACCTTGCCTGTGGCGAGTGCAGTAATTTGCATATGA